TTTTTAATAGAGTAATTAGATATTTCAGAAAATGTGTTTATGAGCTTGATGGCTTCCTGTAGAGAGGTGAGTCAACTCTAAAGTTGTCAGTAGGAATTTCCAATTTACTTTGTCAAAAGCCTTTTCTGTATCTAATGAGGCAGTAATTGTTTTCATTTTGTTGTTTCTTAATACGTTAAATCAGTCTATGCATATTGCTTTAAGAGTGTCTTCCTTTAATAAACCCAGTTTGGTCTGAATGGATTATGACTGGTGTGACATTCAATTTGGGTGGCTAATTCTTTACTAATAATTTTGACATCAGTATTAATAAGCGATAGAGGGCAATAACTAGAAAGTTGGGTTGGTTCTTTATCAGGTTTAAGGAGTACTGAGATAATAGCTGTATTAATTTCTGATAGTTTTTTTTAAGTTTTATTTCACGAGTCATTCTGGCAAAATGGTGAAATTGTCAAAAATGTCTACAGAATTCAGCAGGGAATCTGTTTGATTCGGTTCATGGTCTGAAGTGTATAATGTGCTGTACAGAAAGTGTTATGTCTTGTGATGTTTGCATGGTATTCCCTGCTGAGTCCCTTATGGCAATGATTGATTTTTCTTCGTTTTAACTGGTCTGCCAAATACTTTCCTGATTTATTATGTTCAAAATGATCCTATCTGAGCCTCTGTAGTTGGAATTCTGTTATTTATAATATTTAAATTAAGTTTAGCTTTCCTTAATTCATTTTGAATTTGCTCAGTTGGATTGTTATCAATTCTTTGATTTTTTTCTTCCAAATTGTTTACAAGTTTTTGGTTTTTTATGAGCTGAATATGATATAATTTTGCCCTCCGTACAACTTTGCCGGTTTCCCCAAAGTAAAATAGGTTAAATTTCTGGAGTATAATTTTCATGAAGGGTGCCCACTTTTTTAAAAATGTATTGAAGTCTTCATCTTTTAGCAGTGATGTATTAAATCAACATCTAGTAGTGGGTTGTTTAGATTGTTTACTATTTAACTTGTATGACACTGGGGCATGATTTGTATCCGAAATTTTGGATATAATTGAATTACCGGTGAGAAAAAGTCAATACGGGGAAAATGACTGATCGGGGGTGAGAAGTAGAATATTCTCTTGATGTTAGGTTCCTCAATAGCCAACTGTAGCCAAGACCAACGTAATTCATGTGCTGTTTTAGTGTATTAGTGGAGAGCCAATTTCTTGAGTTACCTGAGGTACTTGATCTGTCCAATGCCAGATTGATAATAGCATTAAAATTGCCTCCTATTATAATTATTGAATGTGAAAGCTTGGTTAATGATTAGAAAAATGTATGAAAAATGAGGGGTCATCAGTTTTTGACCTCCAACTGTTTGCAATTGTGATGTTGTTAATGGAGGCACTAATTATGATGTAGGGACCATTGGGGTCAGTAATGGTAGTTTGATTAGTGGTATTATTTTATCAAAATGGAGAGGCCTCTTTGCTTGGAATTGTAAGCTGCTGAAAATGTTTGATTGCATTGTGAGGATTTTAGTATTTGGTGCTCCAGTTTTACTAAATGAGTTTCTTGTATTAAACATATGTCAGTCTGAAAATTAATGGAGTGAAAATCTTAACCCCTTTTTACATTTGAACCAATACCATGGATGTTCCAGGTTACAAATATAAGTGATTGCATGGTTACTTTATTAAGATTTGATTTTTTTAAAATAAGTTTGCATTTATGTGTGCATGCGATCGTGCTTGTATGAAGATGGCCGATATTTACCATTTTTAGAATCAGTATTCTCAACTCAAATTCTCAAATGTTTTAACATTTAAAAAAATCTAAAGTTATTCTAGTCAAAAACATCCAACCCCACTTAATATCCATTTCCTCTCTTAATAGTGTTCCTCCTTCCATATTATAAAAAGTCTTACAACTATAAACATATTGCATATAAAAACATTGAACACAACTACAAACAAATCCCCATTAATGTTAAATACATGAATGAAGACAAAACACTGAAAAATATGCAGGACACAACAGGCAAGCAATAGGAACAGGGTTTGGATGGTTTGGACCAAGGTATATGGTAATTTAGGTTAAAGAGTTTGTGCTATAGAGTGCAGTATATTTTTTCTCTTTTGATTGCATTAAGCATTGCTTCTTCCTGTCTCGTTCAGCAGAATTAATGCTAACCAAGGGGTGACTTCTCTGTCACAGTAAAGCCGTCCGTCCACATAGTTTATCCACCATGACAACTCCGTACTTCTCTCTTTCCAGACATTTTCTTCTAATTTGGAACATTTTTTTGCATCTCTCTTGTATTTCATGAGGAAATTGGTCATTAAGGCCATAGTCTGTTCCTACCAGTTCTTTTCCCTTACTTTAAATGAGTTTTGTTTATAATTCAAACTTGGCAATAATAGGTCTGGGGCAATTGGTGTTTGTGTTTTTCTTGCTTTGCTGCGCACACAGTGAAATGTTATTTGTCATACAGTTTCTGCTGGGAACTTCAGTTGTTTGTGGATGAACTCTAATTTTTTCTGGATCATCTGATGGGTTTTTTGGGTATTCCTGAGAAGATTAGATTGTCGCACGTACTGCGGAACTGAACGTCAAAAATAGCTTATCTCATTTCTTTTTCTTTCATTACAACATCCATTTGCATCGTGAGAGTTTTAAGTGTTCTTTGGGTTTCCTTACAGAGCGATACAATTTATTCCTGACCATATTCCAAGCTATTTCTCAAGCCTATTGAGGACTGAATTACAGGAACAGTAATAACAGCCAAAACATCTAGCAGCACACTGCCACAGTGTTGAATTAGCACCCTCTGTACTCTTGCTTCCCCTCACACAGCCATCTTGTTCCCCTTCTTTTCACTTTCTCTCTGTGTGTATATATATATATTCTAAGTACCAGTTGACATTTAACACTTATGCCAGAAAAGTGTGAAGGGAAATGTTTAAGGCAGGGTTGATGTATATCTACAGGTAAGAAGGCTCCACAGCTGAAACATTGCGTTTCTTCTCTTTTCAGCATGAAATAAACCTTTACTTGTTCCTTTGCAGCCTATGAATGCTGATGCAGCTACCTACTCGTCTTAACACCTATATTTTTTCTGCAGTGCTTTGCCCAGTTGATCAGTTCATGTGCTCTAATGGACAATGCATTGGAAAACACAAGAAGTGTGACCACAACACCGACTGCACAGATAATTCAGACGAGCTTGGCTGTTGTAAGTAGTGTTTGAACATGGTGCGTGGAAATAGTCTACAAAAGGGTGTGCATTGTAATATAAAAACACAAACTTAATTATATTTACAAAGGTGCCACTGTGTTCAAGCTCACAAAGCGTGTGTGGGTATCACATAGTGTGTATAAGGACTGAACTAATTCTGAGCACCTTGGATACATCTGCATACAAACTTGTTCTTGTGTAAATGAACAATGACTGCTTGTAAAAGAGTACCAAAGGATCTGTTTTGAACTATATACAGTATAACCTACCTTCTCACACTTAAATGCAGATTAGTTTGTGTTTGGTTGTTGACGTTGGAAAACCCAGGGCATGTGCATCTGTATGATAAGTAAAATATGATATAGGACCATGTGCTATTCAGCTGTTGTGCATATTACAAAAGGAATATAGCATGGCTATACTCCTATAATTTTATAAATTATAGTTCTGAGTAAGGTCTTCAGCAAGCCAGTTGATGACCGCTGCTCAGGATTGTTTTGGATCCCTGGTTGTCCTACCTTGCTGATTTGGACTGAAGATTCAAAGCATTCTGTACAGGTTTCTGCAGTCCTTTTGACTGTGAACTAAAACTGTTCACTCAGAGGCATTGTTAGAAAGTAGCAACATTGCTTGAGCACAGTTTTAATAATGGTAGTAGTGGAAGGTATAGTGATTCCAGGGGCTGGGAACCTCTTGTGATAGTCAGTTTCTTCTTTTAGACCCTACAGAGGAGCCATCCCCTCAGCCCACAAACACCATCGGCTCCATCATTGGAGTGATCCTCGCACTGTTCGTCGTGGGAGCAATGTATTTTGTTTGCCAGCGGGTGCTATGCCCCCACATGAAGGATGATGGAGAAACAATGACCAATGACTTTGTCGTCCATGGAGCCTCCTCTGTGCCCCTGGGATATGTGCCACACCCTAATTCCCTGTCTGGGTCATTGCCAGGTAGGTCTAAATGTTGTTCTGTGCCTCTCACGAGATGCAAGGAGAATGTTTCACAAGTGTAGATTCTTTAAAACAATTTAAATCTGAAGAAGTTATAGGCATGTCATTGCACATCTTGGTCTCTTATTGCCATATAAATTATAGGAACAATTCAACTGTGATGTTTACTTTAATGCAGGAATTTGGTTTATAAGTTAGCCCTGACTCTGACAACTGTTAAATATACCAAATTTATGTAATTTGAATCGAATTAAATTATTTCATATTAGAAACGTGTAATTTTTTATGGCCAGTCTCGGTGGTTGGCTGGTGGATGGCTGTAAGTTTGTCTGGTTCAAAAAGGGCCTGACCAGCAAGTGATAGGGGGGTGCTTCATGATCCATACTTTTCTCTTCTTGCAATTTAACATGAGTTAAAATAGGAATTGTTCATTCAGTGTTCAGAGAAGACAATGGATGACAAAGGGTTTTGGTGATGTTGCAAGGCTGTGAGTGAATTCTGTTTATAGAAAGATGAAGATCTGAAGGAGTTATGGCCTTGTATCCAGCCCACTTTATGGACTGTTGATGTGGATTTGTCGTGGTCTTGTTTCAGGAATGTCAAGAGGGAAGTCCGTGATGAGCTCTCTCAGCATTATGGGGGGCAGCAGTGGTCCCCCTTATGACCGAGCCCATGTGACTGGGGCCTCATCAAGCAGCTCCTCCAGCACCAAAGGCACTTACTTCCCCCCGGTGAGTCATTCTTCCGCCGCCTCTCGCGGGTCGGAATGTGCGGAAAGTAAACTCGGCGTGGACCGAGGGGAGCACGAGCAAGGGAGCAGTGGCAAGTGAAAAGTGCAGCCAGTACCGTTATTCCTATGATTTGCAGCTCCTGCTCCGTCCCTGAGATCATAGTAGTTAACTGCACCATCAACCGTAGTTTATTATAGAAAGATGTCTCTTATAAGTACTAAAATAAATGTATTATATTAAATTTGGCTGCCACCTTTTTGCGACCTTTGTCTTGACTTTTGTTTTAAAATGATCTCTCAACTAGTAGTTCCAAGCGACATTGGGTTTTTTTAGCTCCATTGCTGGGTACCTACATAGCTGAGCGTAGCATATTGATCTATGTAACTTGTCTACATGCCTAAAAGCCTACCCCATGTGATAAATACTGGCCTACTTTGTATGTTGAAGCTGAACGTCATGCAGAGTACATTGCAACTAACATTGAGTATCATTTTGAAATTCTAATAGTGTAAATGAAGGACAATTCAAAGAACCCGTTGTCTTTCGTTTGAGTTATATCCGCATGTTCTTCTTTCCTTAGATCCTGAACCCCCCTCCATCCCCCGCCACAGAGCGGTCACACTACACCCTGGAGTTTGGCTACTCTTCAAACAGCCCTTCTACCCACCGGTCATACAGGTACCAGACACTGCTTGTATGCCACAGCCCACACAAAGGCCATGTTTGACTCTGTAGGATTGACATCTGCCTGTGTTAAGATGTTTCATTTAAGCCTAAATTTGAACATCTGTATCCTAGTGCACTGTATCCTAGTGCTGCCATTCAATCTGAAACATAGGCTACAAAGCTGTTGATAGTTCAAATGGTATTTGTGGATTAGTGTACTCCTTGGTACACAACTTTTCAACCCCGGGAGTTGAATTTCAGTGCCGCTTTTGGCTATAAGAGCATAAGAAAAGCTACAAACAAGAGGAGGCCATTTAGCTCTTCCAGCCCACTTTTAGTATTTGTAAATAAAACGTTTTTCTATTTTGAACGTGCCGGCCTGATGAATGAGAATCTAGGCGGCAGCGACGAATGGGGAAGCGTTGCTTTGGAAGTATGAACATGACGCTTGTTTTTTTTTTTGTCACAGCTACAGGCCGTACAGTTACCGCCACTTTGCCCCACCCACCACACCGTGCAGCACCGATGTGTGCGACAGCGACTACACGCCCAGCCGGCGGATTATAACGGCGGCCAAGGGCTACACCAGCGACCTCAACTACGACTCGGAGCCCTTCCCGCCCCCACCCACCCCACGCAGCCAGTACCTGTCGGCGGAGGAGAACTACGAGAGCTGCCCCCCCTCCCCCTACACAGAGCGCAGCTACTCCCACCACCTCTACCCCCCACCGCCTTCCCCCTGCACGGACTCCTCCTGAGCCCCCTCCCGCCCCCCTGCCCCTCCCCGATCCCCTCTTCATACTGTAAATATTCAGAAGAGAGAGACTATTATGAACGAGGAGGAGGGGATGGGGATTTTGTACAGTATAAAAAATATTAAGACAGAGGGGGTTGGGCTGACATGCTGGAGACACTTGTACAGTAAAGAAAAAAATATTTATATTTTCTAATACAGCATCTTCTGGTTGTGCCATAGAAGTTTGTATATTAAAATGAATTTGTACATTTTTTAAAAAAAATATGAAATCGTCACAAACAGAATACATTGCCTTAATCCAGGGGATATAAATACTACCTTCTTAAGAGGCAGGATGGCAAAAAAAAATGCATTGAAATGCAAAGGTTCATATGGAATTATCTGATGCCAAAAAGGAAATGTTTGCTGTACCTGGGAGTGACTGAGCTGGGAGGTGGAGAAAACAAGCTCAGGATGCAAGGGTAAAATGCGTAAGAGCTTTTGTAAAGCAGCTTTGCGTGGGTTTGATGCAGTGGCCACCTGATCAGGAATGAATGTTGCAATCATGTCTTCATGTAAGTATGGAGAAAGCTCGTTTTTGATCTGCATGCTTCCTTGGCAGTTTTGAGCTAAAAAAAATAATGCATCACATTCTTAAAGGAGAAACCGTTCAATGGAATTTTCTCTCAAGAAAACCTCTTGCCCTGTTGAGTAATCTGCCTGTTCTTATTTTATGTCAGGATTGTTTGAATTAGAATGCAAAACTGGCACATTATTTTTCCATTTCCACTTCTGATGCGTTTTGGAACGCCTTTAATTCTCTAAGTAATTAAAGCAATAACAGATGGAATAATTTTGATCATCAATTCTTGCAGCATTGTTTTATGAATGTTCTCCGTGCCCCATTTGTATCAAGAGTTTTCTGCTCCAATGGACATACCCTGGGTGAATACTCTTCCTTCCCAGGTTTTTTGAAAGAAGTAGTTTATAACTTTCCTTCAGATTCATGTCTACTGTGCAATGTGAGCTCAGCTGAGAAAGTGGAAGCCTGACCCTTGTGCTTGCTGTTGTGCAGTGTTGATAGGACAGTCCTGGAGTGCAGATATAGAACATTGCCTCATGAGACAGGCAGTCAGAACATGTGTGGCCACTTGGTCCTCAAAGGATCCAAGATGGACAGGCTGCATTCAGAAGCAATTAACCAAAATCTCACGTTTTTATCTTGATTTCATAGAAATGTGCCAGACTGCTACTGTGGACACAGCTGTCTCAAAGGACAGAAACCCAAAGCATAACGTGTTATGTGGATATTGTGCATCTGTCTACCACATGCAGTTCATAACTCTTTTCCCAACTAGTAGGGACAAAACTTTTTCACTTAACCAAGGACAAGCAATCGTGCCTGACCAGTTTTAAACTGTTTTTAATTAAATTTTAAATCCAGTGCCCGGAAATGTTTTCAATATTTTTGTACCACATATTGTGTAGATATCGTATTTATAAAGCTATAAAGAAGAATCTTGTATGGTTAGTTTATTGTAAATCTGTCCATTATATCCTTGCAGTACTTTCCTACGTTCTTACAGTATATGCCTCATTTTATTTTTCTATTAAGTGTTAGTCTGAAAGTTTGGAGACAATCTAAGACAAAGACAATTTAAAAAAGATCCAGGTATCGTTGTTTATCCTGAGAAATTACTGCTGTTGATACTTTAAAGAAAAAACTATTTTTATATTTCACTAGATGGTGTGTTCAGTTATTTCAGATACTACAGTGCCAAAAAAAGTTATTCGTACGAGTTTAGTGTAGCAGAGGTGACATACCTTAACAATCGGTACTAATCATTTTGAATGTTAAAATCGTAGACTTTATACAGGTTTGCACTGCACATGGTGCAAGATTGTTGGCTGTCATGAGTGTACTAGTACAAATTGTTGCATTCCCTGATGGGTGTTTAAATTGTTCCTAATTGTATATTCGTATAATACACTTGTATTCCATCAAACTGTTTTTTTCCAGTTCTCCTTTGCTCTCTGTAAGCTGGCAGCCATCGTTAAAAGAAGGGAGCTTCTCTCCTCAAAGCCTCTCTTTTTTTCCTGTGTGCACCCACTGTTTTTTCAAGTGTGAATGCAAGATTGTATCTAGTCCCGTGTTTAGCTGAACTGTTAGGACTGTCCATAAAGAAAACAAAAACAACCTAAGGGCTTTTCTGTTTTCTGTTGCCTGTGAGGTTCTGGTGTACAAAGCTGCACTTGGTGGAAAACAATTGTATTTATCCTGTTGCTCTTTCTACAAATCCATTTTGTCTTAAGTTCTCGTTTGTGCTCCACCACATCGTGCCCTTCTGAATAAACTTTCTTTTGTGACATCCAACAGAATTTCTTTCATCTTAAAGTTTTGAAGTTTGACTCTCAAAAACTGGAAAAATTAGCTGACAACTGTACCTCATCTCATTTGTTATGCAGGTCTAGAGTGGTTCATGGACAAGATTACCTAATGCAGCTGCACAATTCAGTGAATACATTGAATTATTCATTTTTTTAATTTAACAGCTTTGTTTTAACTTATGGCCAGCATGGTTTGTACTAGGTTTGACATGTGAATTGGATAGTTGACAACTAATCTTTGCTCCTGTTCTGGTGTATTTTGTTGTGGTCAACATATCAAAGCCTAGTTTTGTCCTATTTAAAGTACATTAAAAAAATTGTATGATCTGTTCAAAAGCCATTTGTAACCATTGTTAAATTAGTTTGTTTTTTGGAAAGATGGTTGTTACACAACTGTTTTCTATTCATTTCAGGCCTCTAAATAGTACTGTTATCTTTTACAAACTGACAACCTGCTGTTGGCCTTTTTTAGCAGACTAGGAATCTATACCAGCCCGATATTCAGGGAACCAAGCAAATTGAGAACTATTTGAACTTGAACTATTCTTTAAAAATGGCTTAGGTCAAAGTTATAAGCGGCTAATTATAACAAAACATTATATTGATGATATTCCTCCAGTAAAACTGATCCTATCAGTTTGATTATTGCAGTTCCTTAGTGAACATTTAGACATGTCTGTCGGTCATCTACCAAGCAGCTGAAACTGGTAGCTTTTTTCACAGTTTCCAAATGGTCATTTTATTAAAAACCTTGCATTCTTATGTTCATAATGACTTTTTATTGTAGGGTTTTATCAGAAGTTGCATTTTATGAGCCGGTATTTCAGAAAGGCCTTTGTAGTTTGTGCAGGTTTTCTGTTCAGAGTGGTTAGGAAGGGAAACAAAGAAGGGGTAGGCTGTATTTTTTTAAGCTAATGGAATTTTAAGCAGCTAACGTTAACTTCTCAATACTATCCCTGGTCATAAAGGTGCAAGGTTTTTAAATTTCTCACTAGTATTCTTTTATTGTTGAGGTGCATTTACATATTTTTCAAAGTGAGCGAGAGAAAAATTAATGTTTTAGCTATACTGGCATGTTGATTAGTTTTATGACTTGAAAAGATTTGGTTATTTTAACTTTAGGTATCACCATTAGAGGAAATAAATGCTTGTCATACATATACTGTTACAACCCAGAGTAACATACTGAAGAGTTCAGATAGCTAGCCATAAGAGGCCCTCCCTTCCAAGATGGAATCAGACCTTTACTTGTGTGGAGATAAAATGTCCATTTGAGTTGGCAAAAAGGGATTCAGAAAATTAGTTCACATCAGCTCATTGTGTGCCACATTGTTCCACACATTTAGGAAGTGGTTTTTCATTGCCCCGTTGGGTATGTTGCCATTCGTTGTGAGGAAAACGGCAGCCTTTGTATTCCGTTTTAGAGAATATTTAGCATATTGTGTTGTACAACAGAAAAAGAAAGATTGAATATAGATGGTCTTTTTTAATAAAAGTGTAATGTTACATAATTCCACACGCAACCATCTGATGATAGTTATCACATTTAAAAAACCAGACCACAAAAGAAAATTGTCAAGTTTTTTTAGTCTTAAAATTTACTAAATGAATTGGGGGAAAATTGTAATGTATGTTTAATGACTTGGTAAACTGATTTAGTGTTGGATTTGACTGAAGCAAAACAAGTTTAACAGGAAGCAAAGGAAATAAATTCTTGCATGTTTAAACCACATCAGCACCAAGGAGATGACTGTATCCTTGGTAAAATAGAATTAAAACTGGACATGGCTTTTCAAAACCATTTTGTTCCATTTGTTTAGGTCCTGTTCCTCTAAAGACGGCACTCTGAAGGTTATGTAAGGATAAATATTAACGGGAATTGCTGCTCTTTTTGTTAACTTGTATAGCCACAGTCTTCATAAATGGTCTGCTATTTCCTTTGGGTTATTGTACTGAGGTTTAGTTTTCATAGGTGGTAAATACAGGATGTCCTCGCAAAACCCTTTTTAACCATGGAAATTGTTCTGGGATTCATCCCAGAAAAAGATATGAAAAGAGTAATTTCTTTTTTCTGATGTTTTTTTCTGGTTCAGACATGATTTTTTTCATATACTGTACAAATAACTGCTATCAACTCAGTTTAGAAGGGAGAGGTTGCAGTATGCTTTCATGTCTTGTTTTACCTTTTTAATTCACACACAAACCGCATCTGTTTAAAACTGGGACCTGCTCACTGCTGAAATGACCGTTCTCTGTTTAAACATTTTATTTTTCACTGCTGCTTCTTTCATCTAATTTCCAGGCAAAGCCGGCAAATTTGATTCCGACCTCCATGTCCAATCTAGTTCCCTTCATTCGCCCGGTCTTGAATCTTTCCCTTCGTTCCAGAACATCTTTTGAGCACTTCATTTTAAATTCTTGAAAATTATGGTAACATGGCAATATTTTTGGTAATTACTGTTACTTGAAACAATTCCCTCAGACTTAAAACCAGTGCATGATCCTTAAGTTTGGTTGCTTGCCATTTGTAGAAAGATTGTTTTGGAAATAGTCACAAATTGTTATGAGACATTTTTTACTTCTCTCCTGCAAATAATAGAATATGACTGTCATTGTAGTAATTTCTGGCCTCTAATTTTTGATGGAATTTAAGCAGGAAATGCTGTAGATCAAGTATTAAAAGCAATTTTGGTGTCATGTAATTGCAGAGCTACAATACGTTTGGGAAAAGTTGCTAAAAGCTGCAAGGTCTTGTTTGCATTTGTTTGATCCATTTTGATACCATGGTGCTTTGCAAGGATGTATATTCAAAATGACCAACATTTGGTTAGTTCTATCCATTATTTCCACTAACAACCCTTACTTTTGTAAATTAAATGCTTTACATGTAAGCTGTGTATAAAACAAACGTGTACAGCCCTTTCAGTAACTATTATAAGCTGTTGTATCAAATGAAATGTTGATTTTTATAATAAAATTGAAATTTTACCTTGGTTTGTCTTTTGTAATGCTTCCTTAGCTGTGAACCACAGAAGACCTGCAGACTGATGTGAATCAAAATACATTACTTACCTTCATTTCCAACTACCACCAAGTTCAGTGTTGGATGTACTGTAAATGTTGGGGCTTGATCCCTCATACAGTTCATTTTAAAATCTCTGCATATGTACAGATCTCTCAGATTATTATACAGGGGAATATTTCAACATGGCCATAAATGAACAAGTGCAGTTTTTTGGCTGTCTTATCATAATATCCAAATTGTCGGTAAAATGTATTTCTAAGAATTTTGTTTTACAGTTTTATGTATGAGAAAAACTAAAGAAAGTTCAAAAGATTTTCTACCTTCTCCAAAAGGCAGAATAACAGGTTTATTTTCTCACATTAAAAATTGTGGGCATATTAGTTTATAGTATGTGGTTGATGGTGTATTAGTATACGATTTCCTTACCTTCACGAAGTTGCATGCGTGGAATGTGATAAATAAACATAATGGTTCCAGTTTTATCTCCCATATTCTGGTGAGACTGGAGGTGCATAATCCCAACCCTGCAAATTTTACCAAAACAATTCAGACGTGATTAGTACGACGAAACCATATGCGCTCAAGTAGAATGAAATGTAGACGCTCCTGTAAAACAAGGGGACAGATTCTAGACTAGTGGAGTTATGTTTCAGTCAGATGTTGGGCAGAGTTAAATAATTCAAACGAGAGTCCATTTTCTAGCTTATTCAAATATGGGAAAGGAAAGTTAACACTGGACCACAAACATTGGCCTACTTAAATATGCTACTTATCTTAACACAACCTAGCTACAAAAGGAAATCTTCAAATCTAGCAGCAACCTGCCGAAATTATTTTAAAGGACCCCAAAATATGGAATACACGGTAAAGTAAGATTGTATTTTCCAACACTTCACGTATGATAGGTCTATACTTATTTTTGATTTTTTACTCGTATTATATTCTGATTATATGATTTTCTAACATCACATTTTTGTCACGTATTATAAAGCAAGCAGTAATTTATTTTGCAATTGAGAAGGGCTCACTGAAATCGGTTATTTTTGTGCAGGGTGCCATCTGGTGGATTTTATAATTGTCCACCGGGCGACATTGGTTTTCTGTGATCATCTTGTAAAATTGCATACTTTTATTACGCACCACAGAAATATGATTTAAATGTAGAAATCCTAAATTATTTAAATGTATCGTTTCAAAATAAGTTGAATATAGATTTTGATGTTACTGGAAACTAAAAAAATATTTTTTGACTGGAAGTGTAATTGAAAGATATCGCGTTCGTTGTACCTTCGGCCATAGGTCCCAGTGAGATGTGCAATGTCTCTGCTAGAACTTTTAGAGATTAGGTAGTATTCTTAGAAATGTCATACAAGGATTTCTTCTGCAAAGTGCCTTAAATACTTTGCAGCTGTACTCTTTGGTCCGTTAACTTGAGTGTGTGTGTTAAGTGTTCAAATTATGTGAGGGGATCATTGCGGGGCATGTTGTGAAAGCTACGCCTGAAAGCGGCTACACCTGAATCCGAGGTAAATAAAACAGGATCAACCGGGATTCTTCCCTTCACACACTGAATCGGAAGGGAACAGTCACCACCGAAGACTGTTTGCATCACGACCCGGAAGTGAACATACCAGCTGACAGCATTGTTGTTGTTGCAGTTCTGGTTTTGGTAGAGATTTGATTGTATGAGCGAGTGGAAAGAATCGTTCCCTTCTGCCGCAGAAGGGCGGCGGAGAGGTTTCTAAAGTGATTCTACCGGGTTTATGAAAATACTGTATATAAAGTTATTTACATTTAGACGTTTTCACATTTACACACGAAAAAGAAGGGACAAAAACGTTTGGGAGGACAATTTAAAATTAACCTGTAGTGTACATATCAGTTATACTAAAGTTAAAAATTTAAAAAAACTGAAGACGCTTGAGAAGCACCGAAAAAGAGGAACCTGGTAAGGTGGCACGACGAACCATGTTTCAGTCTTTTTTTTTACGTTAGTCGCTTCTTTTTCTTCTAAATAGGTTGTGCTTTTATTATCCTAAATGCAAAACTTGTCTTTTAATAGGAAGGCTGAAAACGTCTTCATTGTCATTTGATATTACCCCTTATAAGAATCCTCTATGTTGTCTTTTATAAAGAAAAAGGGGATGAAGTTAGCTGCATGAACGCTTAGTGTTTGAGAACTACAAAGCCAGCTGGTATCGCAGTTCCTGCAGCGAAATGCTTAACTTTCTGAATGGTGGAGCTTGGTGGTGTGAGGTGTTGGTTATTGGAGCCCAGTTTGTGTCCTGTATCTTGCAGGTTTAAGCTGCTGAGAAAGCCAGGGCTCCAGCCAGAACTGTCACAATGGGAGCAGAGCAAAGTGCTGATTCTGACCACAAGCATTCAGAACTAAACTCCGCAGGTAAAAGCCACTGTTGCAAATACCACCGCCCTAAAGATGAAACCATGTTGCTTCTTTTTAGAGATTTATTGTTTCATGATCACAAGGCTTCAATTGAGTAATTTAAGCCTGTTCTTTTCTCTGCTTAAAACGCTATGTGAAATATTATTCTGTGATGTAAATAGCGCAAATTCTGTTTTTTTTAAGACTCAGTCTGAAACGACTGAAGTACAGCACCAATGATACTGCAATGTCACATTTTATGCTTCTTGTAACAATACAGAAATATTGCTTTACAAGTGTGCATGCATTGGAGAAAGTGTGAATCAGACCATTCCTTTAGAATCCCTCTGTTCTGCCCATGAATTCCCTTTCATTCATTTTATGGTCTCTTTGATCTTAATGTTTGGCCAGGTCTTAAATATGGTGTCTGTTCATTTGTCACAGGGATGCATTGGTTCTATATGTAGCATAGGCTGTATCAAATTCCAAAATGAAACAATGGACAAATAAATTGCCTTACCTAAAATTGTATACTGTTGCCCTGATTTGTACCTGCATTCTTAATTTTTTAACAAACATTGCTGCTCATCAAATGGTTTTGTGTTTCCGTAGTGATGCCTTCTCCAGCCAAGCACAAAGCCAAAATGGATGACATCGTTGTGGTAGCACCAGGAACGCAGTCCCTACGGAATATTCACAACGACCCAGATGTCATCAAGCTGCAGGAAATACCAACCTTCCAGCCTCTCTTGAAAGGTAAGGTGGTGGTATTGTCTCTGTAAACCCCAGAAATGGTACCATTTAATTAGGGACCTTTTGGTCTTCTCTGTGAATTTTGAAGCATGGCTTTTCAATCACTGGGTGTTTCCATTACTATTGCAGGAGTTGTGAGAGTTGCCATCTGGTACTGATATGGATATATAGGAAAAAGTATATATATATACAGTAGGATGTATAAGTAGTGTACTGTAGTCAAACTGAGGCTTTTAATTGCTCATTAAAGCCTTTGATGAAAATCCAATTCTCTTTCCTTTCAACTGACACTCCTTTCTTAATCCTCACACTGTGGAATGTTGTTTACTTAAATGCCACAATTTCAAAGTGTCAGCAGGAGTTCTTTCGTGATTTATTAAAATGGTATTGTACGGAAGCAAAAGCCCATTAATTTTTTACTTAGCTAAAATTATTTATTTAATTAGTCACCTTTCAGTTATTCTTTGTTTTTTTTTTAATTGTTGACCAAATATAGAACTTCTCATATCTTGCTCAGTCTTCTGCTGTAAAACAGGAAAAATACTTTTGTATTTGAATTAGGGGATTTGGAAATTGTTGTTATTACACTGTAAGAAAATTAAGATGTGAAGAGAAAAAATAAATAAATCTGGGTTTGAATCCAGAAACGTTACATTCACTTTACATTGGACTCTGTGTTGTCTCTCAATCCCAGGTACAAAATGAAACTCACGGGGGACGTAGCTGAAAGTGTAGGCCATGATTTGATATGGATACAAAATGTATCCACAAAAAGATGTCAAGTGTTTTGAGAATGATGTTATTCATTAGAAAAACGTAGAACACTGAAGGAATCTATATTATATTATATCCACTAGATGGAAGTATCACCAAAAAACTTTTGTCTTCTTATGTCTTCCTAAAAATGACTCATGCTGGGCAGGGGCTAGGCTACCTTGTGAGGGTGCACTGTGAAAGTACTGTTTCATTCATTTCACTTAAAGAAGATGTTTCGTTTATTTGCAGAAATGACAAATAACATCATGTTTATGACAGTAGATGAAATCTGGTAGGCATCTACTGTACTGCAGTGCTCATATACTGGCTGCTGTGGTGTGTCAGTAACTAGATATTTTCACTGGAGGCACAAGACAGTGAAATGAGGATGAGTCAGAGCATATTATTAGCTTTTTTAATTTGTCAATTCAGTATAAATACTAGGTAGTACTGACTTGCAAATAATACACACAGAATCCTATTAAGCAATGAACCTTCTGGGTTTGCACTTTTAGGGTGCTCAACAGGCAAATTTCTACCAAGAAATGGTAATTGCCCCAGTTCATTGACAGTAAAGCTGTGCATTATATAATGTTAACAACGTGATTGTTTGCCATTGTCAAATGATCAATGATTTTGATTTTATTGTAAACTGAACATTTTAATTTAGTTATAAAACAGTGTTCAATTTACAGAATAATTTAGAGAGCATTTTAGTATTGTTACAAAAGCAGAACGCAAAGACATTTCTGTAGAATTTGATATTTGGTATTGAAATTTGGAAGCTTTTCAAATCAGCAGAAAAGGAAACAAAAGATGTCTTGTGAAAATATGTGAATCTGGAAGGAAGCAAGGTCAGAGGGAAGACTGTGCTGGATGTTTGTTTTTTTCCTTTCTTTAGACATCTATATTATATTTATTTGTGTATTGTAGAAGAGTGTGTGGTGGAAAAAGTGGGTCTTTACATCAGAGAGCTTGTTTCGTGGTAGAATTGCTCACTGGACAACCCTGTTTGAAGATGAAAATCTTCAACTTCTAAAGCTCTTTTGGCTTTAGAATTATCGGTCCAGGAGTGGTTCAACCAGGATGCTTGAGCCCTTTACTCCAGACATTAAGGGCTTGAGTCTGTGCAGTCAATAGCCACATGCGATCTGGTTTTCCTAAGCAGTGGCACACAGTTGACTCATATCTTCCAGGAATGTGTGGCTTGAGGTGATTCGCCATGCAGCAGAGACCTCTGCGTTAGATACCTGTGAGGCTGCAGTGTTATAAGTAAGACTCAATCCTTAAATAGTAAGAAATCAGGAATGCACTTGAACATCTCATCCCGTGGACAACATATCTTATAGCAGGATGTCTCCAGTCACCTAATTGTGGCATTGGTGTGGAAGTTGAGGTTCAGAGGAAAGATTGCTACCAAGTCGTGTTGATGCAAGTGGGCTTCAACATCCCTTGCAGCTACAACCTGGCTTTCTCTAGATGTTCTTTGACTGATCAGGCCCATTTTGTTGGGACACAATCAAACTATACTGTGACAGAAAGAAAGGCCACACATTTTACCACCTTATTTGAATGTGTCCCTACAAAAACCTATTTTGTAGATCACCATTGGGTGTCCAGTATTATCTTTGTTTTTGACCATGTGAGATTTTCTTAGCTCTGTCCAAATCTAGAAACGCAAATCTATTTGTTCGACTATCTGATGACCTGTAGGAGTGGCCATGTCACACTGTGTGGTAAACAAATCATCTCAGCTGCAGTGACTGTCAGTCAAAAATGCTGTATTTTTATCTCAAGAAAAAGCAGGTCATGGGTTTCATTGTTTATAAACAATTCGCATTCAAGCTTGAGAGTCTGTCTGAGCCCTTAACATAATAAACAACAGTATTGTACATGTACTTCTGTGTAACTGCAGTAGACCTACCTGAACTACACTAACATGAGACACATTAAAAAATAAGCAAAATATTTTTTTAAACTTATTTTTTACTTATTTTTTTCAATCATTATTAAAAATGTTGCTGTATATAGACAAATATTTAAAAAATTTTAACCAACAGAGAAATATTTGCAGATTTCTGTAGTATTCTTCTGAATTAATACTAACCACCAGAGGGCAGGAAAGACAAACATGTGATATTGTCTACTATAATCAAAACTAAAAGTAATCATCGTTAAGTCTCGTAACTGAGGAAGATAAAAAATGTAGCAACACTTTTTTTCAATAGTGAAGTTGTTAATTGGGTAAATAGATTTTAAGTACTGTTTAAAGTTTATCATGTTTTGACTGCTGCAGTTTAGCACCGTGAACGTCTTTTGAAACATCAGTGACAATATGAGAAGCAGTAATACAAGGAAAACAGATTATTAGGATATCTTGTTAAAAGCATAGAATTTAAATAATGTGATGTTAAGTTGAAATTGTACAGTTCACTACCTTGCTTAGAATTTTGTATTCAGTTTCACTCACTGCCACATAAAAAATATCGGTGCTCTGGCATCACACAGGGAAGAAAAAACAGGTACTCAAAGGAATGTCCTGTGCAGACAGACTAACAGATATGAATCTTTCCTACCTTGAACAGAGACAGCTGCAAGGACACTGTATTGGCTTAATCTGAAGTAACACAGAAAAACACACTAAATGACACAGGTGCAAATTCAAGGAAGTACATTTAGAACTGAGAAGAAGATGCACGTCCTTACACAAAGGATACTGTCTACTGTGCCCAAGGTGTGGGTCTTGTTGAGGAGAAAAAGGGAATATAGAAATGCATTCCCATAGAGTGTAATCCAATTTATGGAAGAGATTGATATGAAATAAGTGTAAATCCTATGAGTTAGGATCCTACAGAGGGGATATTTGATTGTATTTAAAGAATATAACACAGAGAAAGTTCTTGAAGAGTGGCTACAAACTGTATCCTATCTGGGACCACCAGAAAAAAAAGCAGGTTTATTGTGCTGGAGGCTGTTAACCACCTCCATGTTTTGATGGAAATGGGAGAATGAACTAAATGTATTTTCCAGACATGTTAAAATACCTCAGCTAAAATATATGCTGGAATATACATCAAAACAAAACCAAGGGTGTTTGAATTTCTAAAAGGAGGTTTGGTCGAGGGCTGAGATGTAACAAATAAAATAGATCCATAAGCAAGAAAATAGCGAGGTTGAACTCATACCTGAAGGCCTCAGGCTTTTTTCACAAGACCCTGTGGCTCAATAAAACTGACGTAAAACTTCTCATCCTCAAAGTAACACAGTGAAAGGACACTATAGGCATTTCATTTGTAAGCTCTGAGGTAGAAATGGGTCTTTTCCATTAGTCAGGGTACTGGTCAATTCTGCATCATAAAATTGTTGTGTGGCTACATTTTCCTCTGCATTAAAGTGAATCTTAAGCCCTTTGCTATCTGAATGGAATTATTTTTTTTAAACAATATATGCTGTCTTACATATTGATTGGATTTGTGTGCTTTTTCTACGTCCCTCTGTCCCTCAAGATGCCTTTTTTCAGCAGGGCGCAGCTGATTTAACAATTTCATGTTGATAATGTGAAAGGATAATATACTAGTTGGGAAAACCAAAACTTTGTCGTGATGACGTTTGCCACAGACTGTGCATTTGACTGGATTGTTCTGCCTTGTTGTAAAAGTTCAGTGATGAGTGGCATAGGACATTTTGGTTGTAAAAAGCATACTTTCTAATGCTGAGATCGTCATTAATAAAATAATGATGATGATCTGATTTCAGCTAGTCATGCAATTAACCATATCAGATAATAATATCCTGATGCCAGGCTGTTGACACAGTATTGTTCTTTTCATGTATAATAGGATATTAGGGGTTAGTACACAAATTTACAGTCACAATACAAAACTTTTAATATAATTTTATATCTTTTTGTCCTCACGGTTACTAATTCATCTTAATTCAGTGCAAATCAGTTTTATTTTGTGATCCTCGAATTTGATGTATTTTGTAGTCAGAGTAGCATACTGTTATTACAAATTGTAGGACACTGAATTAAATCTACTCAGTGAAGGACAGTTGTGGGCCTCCCAGACAAGAATGTACGCAAGGATATTTGTTTTTACTTCACCTTCAAATTATTCCTTATCCCTCCCTCTTAAGCCGTCTAATCCATTCAGATTTAAAAAGGAATTGATCTTTGTCCTTCACTTTGAAATTGTCAATTGCACCAGATGGTGAGTCAACAGCAAAAACCCACTGTCACTGTTTTTCATGTCGATATCTCTTATGAACCAGAAGGGTATTCATTCCACAGCAAGTTATGTATGTGTGATTTATGTGCATATGAATATGCAAAGGCTGTTTGAGCCTCCCAGATCTGAGCATTAGTCTTCAAGAGATTTAATAAATGACCTCTGACTGTCATGTTAAAGAATTTTAAATTAATTTTTTTTTTGATATGCATATAATCACATCATTTGAAGTCACCTAGTGTGTCGTTTCAGCTAGGCTTGCAGCGGTGATACCTATAATCACACAGGGAATGCAAATTAAAGGAGAGATCCATCTCTCACTAATGTCACCGGGAAGCAGCAGGTGTCGGGAGAGTCGCTGTTTTCCAGGAGCTAAGAGAGCCCTGACCATCTAATCACGATCCTACCCTCAGCGATGCTAAGCCGCCTGTGTGCCACCATTCGAGGATTCCTGGTTATAGTCTGCTAGTGAAATTTGCCATGTCTGAGTCCCAAAGCATCTTCTGCTCTTGGAGGGAGTAAAGCTGGTGGGCCCTTGTTTAAATACTTAACTCAAGAATAGTCTAAGATCCTTGGAATAGTGACTTGAACAGGCCTTTTCCTGGGACAATACGTGGAATAATTTCTATCCTGCCCCCATAAACTTCTCCCCATCAAAATGTGCACTTACCTTCACATAGTGTGTCTGACATGTAGATAGTCCTATGAATCTGGACGGTGGGGGGGTGATGACTCGACTCTGGGCCTTTCACACTGGGAGAACAGATCTGCTTGACTGCACGGCTGGTTGTGGATGGAGAGCCTCTGCATCCCTTCCCTGGAGGACTGGACCCACACCCATCTTGATATCATTCACTGACAGGGGTCCACTAGGCTGATAGCTGCTGCCGCTGACATGGTCAAAGTCTTGTGACAGTGTTTTTAAAGGCCTCTTAAAACATCCAGAATTTATACCTGTTTGTTTATAATTTTAATTAGAACAGTTGACTGCAGCCATTGTTTTTTTTTCGAAGACCTGTGGGATTTTGTACTTTGCATACAAAAATATAACTTCAGTACGTCACATCCCATTCTTAAAGGCAATGATTTTGCCATACCCATTTTACCCCCTTTATGAGATCGAAGATTATATAAAGTATCACTCAAAGCTGGAGCTTTTCCATTGGTTCAGCCTTTCTATTGGTTGTCGTATTACACAGACTATCAGCAACACACAGTTATTTAGGCTATTCCAGTGTAAAAGTAACAGGATCATGACACATGGATCGTGATGCCCTTTTAGAATAATTCATTATACTGTGAAGTTAGTATACCTTGGCCATTTCTATTCCATTTTTTATGGTTTAAATTTATGTTCCAAATAATTTGTCTTCATATAATTTCAAGTAAAAGTCTTCCCTTGCTATTTGGCCACTTCCATGTTAATATGAGATGAGCCACAGTTTCAGTAGTGTGCATAGTAATAACCTGATGGTCAGCCATGACCCAGAGGCACTTAATGGGAATGAAAACTTGATGTTTCTGGGATCAAGCTGTGGTCGTTGAACGGGTTGTGTATGTTTTCTCCTTTCATGTGTTCACCTCAGAACAGTACTGACATTCACACTACAGAAATGCTCTGGGAATATTATTTCTGTAAAATGCCGGGCTCTTTGTAATTTGTGTCATTGTGATAAAACTGACCTGGGCAGGTGTCATCTCTCCTAAAATATGGAACAACGCGTGACTATATGCAAGTCATGTGCGGTTTCCTTTGCTTACTTATCTTCTGATATTGTAAATAGTTGCTGCTCTTTGCACATTGAAAAGTCTTGCAGCTTATGACATTCCAGTGACACAAATGATCATTCAATTTTTCTGCATCCCACCTTATGCATCTTTAATCAGAAGGCTAAAGTTAACCACAGCATTCTAAGCAACCTTGGCTGGTTGAAAAGTGGAACTTAATACACTCCACTTCAAGGTTGCCGGAGAGCTTAATGACTTCAGAAAATGTTCTGTCCCAGCTTTATTACACATTTATCAAATAAATCAAATAAATAAAAATGTGTGTGTAAAATATTATGTAGGTTACTTTTGGAGAGGGACAATAAAGCAGTAAAAAACTGTTAATAAAAATGCTGTATTCCCAAACAAATGTAAGTATTATTGAGTTTATTAATACTCTCATCAATTTTCCTAAGTAACAAATATTTGAGTATAAAATATGTAGGGAGTTCATTTTTACAAATATGGAACCAAATTCTAATGGGATGTAGGTCTAAAATCTAGTGTTGGTATAAAATTGTAGTGGAGTACCACAAGGAGCTATATTAGAACCCCTGCTATTTTATAACTTTCCCAATTTCACATTGTAATAATACAATCATTTGTTATAGTTAGTAAGCTAGATATGCTCGCAGATGTTACTGAAATAGGAGGATTAGCGAACTCTGTAGAAGCAGCCAAATTGTGTACAATATTCCCACAAAGGGTTGTCACTCATGTTGTTAAAGCTGATAACCGGGCTTCTTTCAATAAACGTCTGGTTCAGAAACTTGGATCTGTTAGCTGGTAGAATTAAATAAACTACATAAGTCAAATGACGTCTCCTCTGTAATGTTTTTATGCTCATATGATCTGATGTTAGGCCCTGTCTTGTAACATTTGCCAGTACATTTTGATGGCCGTTTGGTTTTGTATCATGTTTTTTTGCAATTTCAGCAAGCTATCACAGATGTGATTGTTACGTCACAACCAAAAAATTGGCCTAGAGAGTTCAGTGTGGCAAAGGCTTATTGAATATTCTGTGAGATCTAATCTACTGCTTAAAATAGTGCAGGGGTACGTATGAGTCATTTGTCAAAGCAGAGAATACAGTAGTGTTCTATGAGAACGTATCCATTCCACAATCAAAGCATTGAATCTGCCCCAGACAAAACTTGAAACTTTTTGTTTCAGCAACACTTGTGACCGTACAGTCTATTATAAAATATTCATGTAGCTGGTGTCATTCCCCATTTCTTCCATTTGATGAAAATAGTGTGTGCCAGGCATGTTCATTGCTTTTTCCAGCGTTCAACATTCAAATATACCACTTAAGACAACAGCTGGCATTCAGATTCTTAATGATTTGGGATAGCTCTGTAGTTGTAAATGCACTTATTCATTAAATGCAGTTGTGGTGAAGTTTATAATGACTATTTCTCAATCTCTTGTGGAAATATAATCATGAAAATGTTCAACCTGATGTGTATTGAAACTTCTTTTTATATGAAAGGTTTGTTTCACGTGACTGGTGACATACAGTACTTGATAACATTATGATAAATCTCTTCAGAAATAATGTATTGCGGTTTGGTTTCTGCATTTCATAAAATATGACTTGGCCGTGTCCGAAAAGTCACACTAAACCTTAAGCCCTTCCACCAGGACCACAGGTTTGTGATATAGAGCAGGTGTGGCTTTAAGGAAGGTGTGTGAGCATTCAAGGTTACACCATTTTAAAAGGGGTCTTGAGACACCCTAGTATGTCGTCGCTTGCTGGTTACGGCTCACTGTCAAACTGAATGTCATCTCATCTGTCCCTGCACAAAAGTAAGCACTCATAGTGATGTTGAGCGGGCTCAACTCAAAATGGCAAAGTAAATTAAATAAAGAATATTTGGCAGTACAGCTTTCTGTTATTGTGTTTATTAAGTTTTGTGTTAAACACTTTCTTTCCATGCACTGTAGGTAAAGAATTAGTCAAAATTGGGTAGTCAGTTAATGGAATAATAGCTTTAAGTCAACACTTCATACCTTGAATACATATGAATATAAAGTAGCCTAATGAAATTTAGTTTTTCATAAAATATTGAGCTTTAAGACTATAAGAATACTTTCTCCATGGCAACTTGGCTCCTATCAGTTCTAACTTATGGGTTAGAACATGAAATTTTATGATTTTGCAAGGAATTTGGGGGAATTCAGTTCAGTGAAGTGTGGTCTGATGCAGACTTGCGAGAAGGCTGCATTGGGGGCGCTCGAGAACACCCCTGTGAAACATAAATTAGAAACGGGACGCCCTAAGCCCTTTCAGACCCTTGTGGGAACACAGATATGAAGTGCCCAAGACCGCAAAAACAGCCTTGCGGATTTTAAAAATAGTTATAGTACATGTATTGATAATGCAGATAATACATTATAATGATATGAATACATATGAATGTGTATTTTCTGTTTTTAGTTTTACTGGGATCTTTTGTATGACTAATTCACAAATTTTGCTGTTTGGAGCAGTTTTGTACAGTTTTTATAACGGCTGAGAGCTGCAGGTATTTGGCGAATAAACCTGCTTATTCATGACCATCCGTGAAATTCACATCTCTCTGTCTAGTACCTGTCTCTCCCTTGTTCCACCGATCAAAAAATAACCCCACTCTCAGAACACGGAATATTGGAAAATCTTCTGATTGTTAACGACCGTTTGTAAATTTCACGATTCTGTATGCCGACGCGTTTCAGACGTTTACACTCTGCAGTCCAACCGTATTTCCTGTGGGTGAGGCTCAGCCAGCGTGCTCTTCTGTCTTCTGCAGGGGTCCTGAGTGGGCAGACATCCCCAAGCAGCAGCAGGTTGGAGAAGCTGGACTGCGTGCAGGTGCTGCAGCTGTGTCTGAGGTACCAGGACCACCTGCACCAGTGTGCCGAGGCCGTGGCCTTTGACCAGAATGCCCTCGTCAAAAGAATCAAGGAGGTACAGTACAGCGTCGGCTCCTTCACTTCGCTGTGTGCAAGGGGCTTTCTCCAAAAAATGCGTCCTCCGCAATCATCTTTTCCCAGTGATTTCAAAGCTTTTTCACTAGAACAGCACCTGCAGTGGGTCTGGTCCCCCGCGGAACAGGGGCGGATTACCAGCACCAACGGGGCGTTGTGGTTTTACTGGACAGCTTGTCCGCTCAGAGTTCACTGATTAATGGCAGGTAGGGGTTAACTGTTTGAGTCTTCACATGGGGTTGGGTTTGTATGAAAGTGTGACACCTGCGTGTCAAGCAGGGAGCAAATAGATAGTGGGTCTCGGCAATTAGTAGTAGAAAGACCAGGAAGTCTCATTGTGGGAGTTACACACTGTAAATTATACAAATTATTCGCTTTGTCCAAAGTGACTTACACTTACACACACAGCCTTGTGTTAAGCTGTAACAATCTGGGCAAAGTAACTCGCTCAAGTGTACAACAGCAGGGTCACATCTGGGATTTGAGCTCATATCTTTCCAGTCACAACCCTAAACACTGCACTACACTGTTGTGTGGTAACTCTGGAGCTTCATTAAAGGTGATGTTCTACAGTATATAGATTTTGGTACTGGGTAAACAGGGATTAGTGGCTCCTGGTAGTTAAACAGAAGTGTCTATCTAAATGTATAGCTAGAGCTACAAAGAAGGCTTTATTTAAAGGCTTTTTATTAACAAAATAGTGTTTGATTGGTTTGCAGTGGTGTATGTACGAAGGTCACTGAAACCACACTACCAGAAGTGGGGATTTTACAGATTTTACAGCAGATAATAGTGTTTCTTGGTTTCAAAAGGATTATGGCAGCAGTGATGTGACACTTAAAATCTGTTTTCTATTTATCAAATATTTTCCCCATTTAGTTTATTTCTGGAGAAAAAGCCATGTCAATTCATTTTCCTACCTCAAATTCGCTTGCTCGCATGTTCATAATACATTGCTATGGGAAACTTGTGAATGTATTTATCTCTTCTACCACATTTTTGTATAAAAATATTATTTAAAAAGTATTGTCCTGAATATGAACAAGTAAAGGTTTCATTCCATACTGTGCTGAAAAAGGCTGTGCTGAAGAAGGCTCCACAGCCGAAACGTTGTGTTTTCTGTCTTCTCTTTTCAGCATGGAATAAACCTTTACTTGTTCCTTTTCAGTCTATGCATGCTGACACAGCTCCTTACTTGAACTACTTGTCTTGAATATGACTGTTTTTTTATATTTTTAAAACTTTGTGTGGATCCACAGTGGTGGTATCAGATTTAAGAAATGAAATCACGCTATTGAAATCATACAATGTTGAAAGTATTACATTGTACCAGTTTATTTACATGACTCGGAAAACTTCAAAAACACTCCAGTACAAGTCTTGGCAACAGCAACTACTAAACACCTTAGTGACCCTCAGCACTTGGGTTAATCAAGCACCTGGTTAATTCAGCAATTAATTTATTGGATAGTTCAAAGTCCTATAATGGCATGGAACAGAAGAGTTGAGGCTGATTACCCTTTAAACCATGTTTCATTTATTCCATTATTATTTGTTTTTAAATATGCGAAATACTGTAATTGATACTTTATTATACATTGGTATTCTTAGTCGTGTTAGGAGAAGGCATAGTTGACAACCTGGTATCCCTCTTCTACCCTTGTGTATGTGAAATCCTGTATCTACGTTTATTTTTCCTGTTTCTTCTTCTTCCACACATCGTTCTTCCTCTAGGTCCATCGTTTTGATTACTGCATGCTTGTTCTCTTTAGGCTCTAAGACAGGTAATCAGTTGCAGATTCACATCAAGTTTCCCGAACATTAGGAGTGGAGTAGGAGGAACTGGGAATGAAGAGCACTGTGGCTAAAGAAAGATAATGTTCAAATAATGTGAATAGTTCTCTGTTTTGGAAAATCATTGATGAGGAAAGTTTTCTAAAACCGGTACCTGCCGAAACCAAAGATTTTCTCAAATTTAATTATCATTAATTTAAATGCTGCACATGCATTTTGGGGCTGAAGTATTGTTCCAGGGTTATATTTGTGCACTTTTGTTGGGAATTCAGTCAGAGTACTTCAAAGTAGAATGAAGGCGGAGGATCAAAGACCTGTGCAGAATCAATTTAGTCTCTCTGGCTTTAGCAAGGATGTTTTTTTTTTTAAAATGCATTACCTGATAGAGGCAAATAACTCAAGAATGAGAGTTATTTCCATTTTGGAGCCGCATGGTATGCAGACCCTTTTTGTTCTTATCTACTGGCATACCTCTGAAGCCCTATCTTAAAGATCAAAGTGTCCGATATTCAATTAAACAGAACTGGTTAAGTAATGCACGACCCAAAATATTTAATGTTCATTTTTTCTACTGCTGTACTGCCTGAAAAATAAAAAAAGCCCAGGTGCATCCTAGAGCATTATAGTAAGAGATGTTATCAGCGGTTTCATAGCATCCAAATATACCACATGAAAAAAAAAATAGAACAAATAATGCAGTGCAGTTTTCCAAATAATTATTTTAGAATAGTTTCATCTTAAATGTAGTTTTGGTTTAAAATACATACTGTACCTTACGTGTAAAAGGAAGTATATCAGAAAATTATTTTTTCCCCTGACTGCTGAAGTGCCATTTTAGCACAAAGTGCTGAATTTGCTGGTAGTTTTAAAGAAGTAAAAGTTGGCACAGTTATTTTTCCTCATTAAACACAATGCTACTACAAACAAGATAAGCAAGAGGGTGCAGTTTCTTATTTCTTTTAAAAGGACATTACTCTAATCAAAATAAGACTCCTCCATAACAAAATACTGTCTAATGAGAGTACCTGCAGATTTTCTAAAATTAACTCTGCTCCCCAGTCTGTGGATATTGGCTTTGCTTCAGTAAGGGGCTGGTCTGTGTAGTTTACAGTGTCAAGTGCAGGTTGTACATGTATTTGGGTGAGACGAATGCCAGTTTATTTTGGGGGTAAGCAATTGTTGTAAGTCTCTTGCATGAAACATATTGTAGGCATCGACTGTTCTGTTGCCATTAGCTTGTGGTTTGAACTGTATTGCTCCTATTCATTATGTCTGTAGGCCTAGGGATGTGAAATGTTAGGAATTGAGACTGTGTTTATTCTATAGTATTCATTTCCAGAAAATTGACCAAAGTAATATGCACTTCAAAGTATGGTCTCTGTACATAATTAAGCATACAGTAAAATCTGAGAATGGGTTCTTTATCCATTAATGTGTTGACATTGTCCCAGATTCTCTGACAATGGGAATCTTATTTATACTGAGATTTGTTGATGTTAACAGTGCTGAGTTCTTTGTTCTTGCCTATACAGATGCCAAAAATTGTTGGTAAGAAATAAGATATCAAATAATAATTAAGAACAGTAATAGAAATATATGCAATTAAAGTCAATTTGGGAACGGGAGAGAATCCTAAACATCTAGAGCCTTCCAGGTACACATATGGCTGCCCACTGACTTTAATCACTCCATGCAAAAGATCTTGATACTACAAAGCATATAAGATTTGTTCTAGTACATCACAAATATTGTGGGCTTGGGCCATGTAGTTAAGTCAAGATGAGGAACTTGTTGATCCTGCAAGGTTGGAGGCTGATGAAGAGCTTTCAGGACAGGTGTGTGCTCACTAGAAGTGTAAAACATGCATGGCAGAACTCTGTAGTAAGTGCAGTTTTGAATGGAAGACTTACATCACTTAACAATCAAAGAACATACGACTAAAGTATGAAAGAAAATGGAGACCTGGTTGTAATGTTTTAACACTTTTAAATTTGGGAGTACTTTTGGAGTTGAACTAGAATACTTTGCACAAGGATATTCATTTGCATTTTCCAGACTGCCTGTTACTGTTCAGGTATTGTTTAAAGTGGACTGGAAAAAAATCTCTAGAGTATTTATTTCTAATTTAGGTAAACACACTTGGAATAGGTTAAGTGATAGAACCTCTATTTTCAGTAGCTCTACAGATAAATGCACAAAGGGTTTGATGTAGCCATCAGATGAAAGCAAGCAGGGTTGTTCCAGCCTTCTCCCTAGTGTTTGGTTCTGTACTCAGGTTGCATGGCAACGATGAATTTGAGAGCCCTGTCATGCTCTTGATAATGCTGGTTCAGCTGTTCACAGCTTCTGTACAGTTTCTTCTGAAAACAAATTGTCCAGCATTAGACCAGCCCCTTTAATTATATGATTTACCTGCTGGAAACACTGTGAATGCTTCTTGTCCATTTTGCACTGACGCCCTTCATTTGTGCCTCTATTTAAAAGCATAAGACCCTTTTTATGAAAAAGACAGCAGCGAGGTGTGTCTTGTATATGTACTGTATTTGATCATATTTGATTATTTTGCGTCTCTGAATTAACAATTTGCATTAAGTTAATGAGCCAGCTGCATTGTTTCGTATCAGGATTGATACGAGATGGATGGCAAAACATCCCAAAGGTCACAGGGCTAGGCCGTTCATCAAGAAAACCAGAGCAATACAGTCATAAGAACAGTTATAAACAAGATGAGGCCATTCAGCCTGTCTAGCCCCGTTGGTAGCTAGCAGCTTGTTGATCCAAAGATCTCATCCAGTCATTTCTTGAAAAAAACAACCAGTTATCAGCTTCAACAACATGGCTGCATAGCAAAATGTTTCCGTTACCTGTCGTGGCCAGAGCACTTCTTCCTGAAGATTGTTGGAAATGTAATTCAGTACCTTACACCATTACACTTAATCATAATTATCGATAAAATGTCTGTACTGTATTACAAAATCTCATGGACTTTTTTTCAAGACATAGGTAATACCCACTGACTGGAAAAAAAAATGACTGTTGTTGTTGTCCTTCTGTAGTGACATACTGTAAGTGAAGCAAGTAATAATAGACCAATAAGTCTCACTTCAATTGCTGAATATGCAAGGTTATAGAAATAATAATTAGAACTACACTAGAAGATCACTCCTACAGTAATGTGATTCTAAG